CCAAAGACAAGGTAGAATTCGTCGCAAATCAATTTTTCTCTATTCATCCAACTGAAAAATCATTATAAACATGGGGTAATTAAGAAATTTCTAATCATTTAATATCAATTTTTTTAAAAATTCTATAGTAAACAAAAATTTTAAAACACGGGAAATATAGCAAACACATTTTCGGCCGCACTAAATATTAAAAAAAAAAAAAAAAAAAAAACCCCAAAAAACAAAGACATGAGGTGACTTCGTCGTAAATATCCTTTCTCTAATCATCCAATCGAAAAATCATTTTAACCATGAATTAATGAAGAAAATTCCTATCATTTAATATAAATTTCAAAACTATTCAATAAAAAGCAAACATTGTAAAAACAAGAGAAATATTGCTGATCACCCACTTTTTGCTTGCGCAAAACATTTAAAGAGAACCACAAAGACAAGGTGCGAATTTGTCGCAAAACATTTTTATCCAATTGAAAATCATTTCAAACATGGATCACTTAAGAAATTTCCTACAATTCAATATAAATTTCTAAAACCTTCTATAGAATACAAAAATGTAAAAACAAGAGAAATATAGCATCCCATATTTGGCCGCCCTAAATGTTTAAAGAAAACAACATAGAGCTAATTCATCAAAAATATATTTTTTCTATACATCTAATTGAAAAAAAAATTAAACATGGATTAATTATGAAATTTCCTATCATGTACTATAAATTTCAAAAATATTCCATAGAATGCGAAAATTGCAAAAACCCGCAATTTTGGCAGCCCTGAGTTTTTAAAGAAAACCTAAAAAAACAAGGGGCGATTTCGTCGCAAATCATCTTTTCTCTATTCATCCAAGTGAAAATAATTTTAAACATGGATTAATTAAGTTAATACCAATTAAAAAAAATTTCTATAGAAAACAAAAATTTAAAAACAAGAGAAATATAACACACCAATTTTGGGCCACCGTAAATATTTCAAGAAAACTCCAAAGACAGGGCGAATCGTCGCAAATCACTTTTTCTATGTTCACCCAATTGAAAAAAGAATTTAACCATGGATTAGTTAAGAAATTTCGTATCATTTAATATAAATTTAAAAAATATTCCATAGAATGCAAAAATTGTATAAAGTAGAGAAATATTGGTGATCCCCCCTCTTTTTATCTGCACTAAATGTTTAAAGAAAAACCCCAAAGACAAGATGCGACTTCGTCGCAAATCGCTTTTTCTCTATTCATCCAATTGAAAATCATTTTAAACATGGAGTAATTAAGAAATTCCCTATCATTTAATATCAATTTAAATTTTTTTTTGTAGAAAACAAAAACTTAAAAACAGGAGAAATATAGCAAACCTATTTTTGCCCGCCCTGACTAGTTAAAGAAAACCTCAAAGATATATGGCGACTACGTCGCACAGATAATTTTCTCTATTCATCCAACTGAAAAATTATTTTAACTATGAATAATGAAGAAATTTCCTGTAATTTAATATAAATTTAAAAAATATTCCATAGATTGCAGAAATTGTAAAAAAAAAAAAAAAAAAAAAAAAGTGAAAAATATAGCTGATCTCCTACTTTTGGGGCGCCCTAAATTTTTATGAAAAAACCCCTAATACAAGGTGCGACTAAGACTCAAGTAACTTTTTTTTTCTATTCATCTAATTGAAAAATCATTTTAAACATGGAATAATAAAGACATTTCCTATGATTTAATATCAATTTTTAAAAAAAAAATCTAAACAAAACAAAAAGTTAAAACCAAGAGAAATATAGCAAACCCATTTTTGGGGGCACTAAATATTTAAAAAAAAAACAACAACACATAAACAAGATAAGACTTCGTCACAGTTATCTTTTTCTCTATTCATCCAATTGAAAAAACTTTTTAACCATGGATTAACGAAGAAATTTCATACCATTTAATATAAATTTGAAAAAAATATTCCATAGAATGCAAAAATGTCAAAAGAAGAGAAATATTCCTGATCCCACTCTTTTTGGCTGCAATATATTTTTAAAGAAAAACCCCTACAAGGTGCGACTTCGTCGCAAATATCCTTTTCTCTATTCATCCAATTGAAAAATCATTTTAAAAATGGATTAATTAAGAAATGTCCTATCATTTAATAGCAATCTTTAATAAAATTCTATAAAAAGCGAAAATTTAAAAGCAAAAGAAATATAGCAAACCCATTTTTTTGGCCGCCCTAAAGAAAACCCCAAAGATATATGCCGACTTTGTCGTAATTAACTTTTTCTCGATTCATCTAATTAGAAAAAAAAAAACTTTAAAAATGGATTAAGAAATTTAATATCATTTAATATAAATTTCAAAAATATTCCTTAGATTGCAAAAATTGTAAATTTTTCTATTTATCCATTTGAAAAATCATTTTAAACATGGATTAATTAAGAAGAAATTTCATAGAATTTAATATGAATTTTTAAAAAATGCTATAGAAAACAAAAATTTAAAGTCAAGAGAAATATAGCAAAGCCATTTTTGGCCGCCCTAAAGAAAACACCAAATTTATGTAATCGTGCCGTCGCTTAAATTTGGTGCACAACATCGGCTTTTGTGAAGGCGTATTTTTATGGTCGGCTTCATCACCTGACTTAAAATATTGCAGTAACATCATCTTTCTTGCCGCTGCAATTTCACTGCGTGTGAGCTAGGTTTTGTGAACCACTTCAATAAAAAGTATTAATCGTCTCCCGAAGGTACCACCTTTGTTCAATAACAACTTTTTCATTTGACAGGAACTCTACAGCGTCTGTTAAATGCTTAGAAGCGGTTTACGAGATGTCTCGCGAGAAAGACCATTGTCCTGGGTCTTCTTTCACTGGTCGGATAATGAATAGAGTGAATCCGCATATGGAGATGAAATCAGTTATAAAATATGCTGAAAATAGGGCAATTTAATTTTCCTGGTTTGCTGTAACGATTTCTCATTCTACGAAATTTTCCCAAAGTTGGCTACCTTGTGATTTCGATAGGAATCAAGTGAACAACAAATCGGCATTTAAAAAGGATGTCAGCTTTCGGGCTTCTGTGTAACTTCGTTATATGTTTGTATATTCAGTGGGTTCATATTCTAACATTGAATCGGATAATGATACAAAAAGAATGCAAAAATTGTAAAAACAAGAGAAATATTGCTGATTCCCCACTTTTTGGTCGCCCTAAATTTTTGAGGAAAACCCCTAACAAAGGTGCGACTTCGTCGTAATTACTTTTTTTTTTCTTTTCATCCAATTGAAAAATCATTTTAAACAAGAATTAAGAAATTTCCTATCATTAAATATCAATTTAAAAAAAAATTCTATAGAAAACAAAAATTTAAAAACAAGAGAAATATAGCAAACACACTTTTGGTCGCCCTAAATATATAAACCCCAAAGACATATGGCGACTTCGTCGCAATTATCTTTTGTCTCTATTCATCCAATTGAAAAACATTTTAACCATGGATTAATGAAGAATTTTCCTATCTTTTAATATAAATTTCAAAAATATTCCATAGTATGCAAAAATTGTAAAAACAAGAAAAATATTGCTGATCCCCCACTACCTTAAGAAGAGAGGGTTAAAAAAAGAGCGACTCGTCTAATATTTTCACAAAGTTTTCTAATAAAAACCTGTTCAGTACACAAGACATTCATTAATGAATAAATACTGAAAATTTCGTTTGAACTGGATAATTCTATAGCTTTTGTTTTTGAAAATATTTAAAAACTGCGTTGCGATTTTTTGCTTTCATTTCAGAAAAAAAAACTCGTCCATTTTGGTCTTTAATTGTACCGTTTATGGAAGAACTTGCTTAGTCCCGGGGATTCCAACCCCACGGCAGCACCTTCCTCATTGGAATAAGAGAGGAAGGGTGGGTGTAATCGATGCCAGTGTGACACGTGAGAGTAGTCACGGGAACAGGACAAAAAAAAATTTGTCCTTGGTTCATATATGCATGCATATATGTTTGGTGCTCCCAACGTTAAAACTACCTTTTTAGTTTTTTTTGTGTCACATCCAGCCTCAGTGTAGAGGCCGTGTAAAATATACATTAAAAAAATATCCTGACAATATGGGCTTGCATTGAATACATGTTTTTACATTACAAATCAATGAAATTATTTATGAGAAAATTAATGTTCGCATTGTTCATTAGTCCTTGTAGAAATTTTGCAAACTCTTTCATTCCACATTCTTGTTTTAAAAACGTTATTTTAATTTTACTTTTATTACATCCCCAAAGGGTGGAACGAAATGACGGTCTAATGATTGGACTCAGAAGTTTTTTGGATTTTTTTTACTGTATTTTTGGTCGTAGCTTGTGCAACAAATGCGTGAGCGCGCACACACAAACAAAAACAGATGCATATATACGGGAATATCCGCATCACCACTTTAAAAAAAAAAGACTGTCACATTCTGGCTTAGTGAGGAGAGTTCAGGTGAAAAATAAAATGAAATCGCTTTTCAGTCTATTAGCTGGGATCAAAGTGATCTGTTCTCTCCTTGTTTGAGCTGGGAGAAGGCGTCCAGTCCTGGTAACACCTTTATTGCCCTAAACCATTTTTAAGGCTAAAAGAGAATTAGAGTTAGTGTGATCGATGCTAGCGTGACTGTACAATTTTTGTCCTTGGCCTATATGCATGCGACATAAAAAAAAGACCTTGTATCACATTTTGCCTTGACAGTGAGATCAGGTAAAAATACCAAGATCAAAGTAGTCTAGAGTATCTGTTCTTATTGGCTTAATAATTATGTCCCTTGAATCTGATTCAATTATTTCTTACGTACGGGTTATCTCCCTTTGAACATATTTCTTGCAGACACGCACATGCCCAACAAAAGAAAACGATACAAACACGTGCTTTTGTTTTCTATTCTTTTTTTCAAGCACGCAACAAAAATATCTCAAATTATAAAATAATGATAATATTATTATTTATATGAAAATCCAGCAGATCACAACACAATATCAAAACTGAATTTAGGAAAAAAAATGCCATCAATTTTTGCTTGGGTGGCGTACGTTCTTCTAGCTGTTGGTCTCATTCATCAATGGCTAAAACAAAAAGAATATGTTTTTTCACACGATATTATTGCAACAATTGCAAATAGGCATATACCCAAGACAGGTGAGTATTTCTTCTATTGTTAAACTGATTTAAATTTTATACTGACTTTTTTTTTAAAGCCACCTTGTTTGTTTTTTGTTATAATTTTGTAGGAGAGAAAGTGTTAAATTTTTTTTTTTTTTTTTTAACAACCCTCCTAAAGTCTTGTCATACAACCGCTTTTTTTTCTTTTGTTATTTTTCATAATTTCGGTCCAGTCTACGAGCAAAAAACTGTTTTGATTGTAGTTCTGACAAATAAAAATCTCAAATATCATCTGTCTGATTTTTTTTTTTTTTTTACTTAGGCACATTACGAAAACGAAATGACGAAGATAAATGATAAAAACGTACTTTAAAAATCATCAGTTATTTCGTAGATTACTTATCCGTTCAGTGATAACTATGTATGGCGTTTTTTTTTTTCTTAAATTTTTAATGTTTGATTGAAGAGTCTTCTTGTGTGTACTACTGTACACCTTTTAGTTTCAGACATTTAAGTTAACAATGATTTATTTAAAAAAATATGGCAAAAACCAAATGGCTTGTTTAGGTTGTCTAATTCTCATCTTGATAGAATCTAAGATTTTCCGACATAATCATAATCATTTTTTGAAGTTTTTTTTTTTTTTTAAACTAAGAAAAATGACTTTTTTTTTTTAACTTCTTTTTCATACAAAAAATGAAACTTTTTCCCACTGTTTCGTAAGTAAATAATTTTTTTTTTTTTTTTTGCTATTTCATAATAATTGGTAAGTTTTTTATTTTTGTCTAAGTAAGAAAAAAAAAGTCTTAATTTCAATTACTAATAAATTTTATCAATTACTGCTTCTGCATCTGAAAAAGTATTTTTCAACGGAATTTTTAAAAATAAAATAAATAATTTATTTTTACAAATCGATTTTTCTCGAAAGGTCAACAAAAAAAAATATTTTAGTCGTCGGTTTGAAATACGAAGATAAAGAACTTAATGTCGAAATGACGACAACTTACTTTCACTTTGCTTTGCTCATTTCCTGCTTTTGAAATCATGGAATGGGATCCTAAGTCAGAATTTAAACATCTTCTCTTGTATTTATCAGAAAATATAAGCAAAAAAGACTTTAAAAACATGAAGTTCATGTGTGATGCATACATTTCCAAGGGTCGAATGGAAGAAATAAATGATGTTATTGAATTATTTGAAGAATTGATATCCCGTCATATTATAAGATTTGATAAAACCGATCAACTGAGAAACTTAATCGCAAAATGCACTAATAATAAAGTTGAATTAATCGAAAAGATTGATCAATTTAAAAAAGGTGAATGTCTTCAGAATACCTACCAAAATTCTTCATCGACTCAAGAGGATCGCGACCAATGCTCTCCACAGGTTCAAACTCGGAAACAGGATTTAAAAAGAGAAATTCAATTGTTGGTCGATAATTTAGGAAGAAATTGGAAATTTTTCATTCGTGATTTGGATGTTCCAGAATCAGAATTGGATTTGAAACTGCAGCAAAATCCGTCTAATATAAAAGAAGCAATTTATGCTTGTTTTCATTACTGGCTTTCAGAAATGGCCAATGATAAAAAAACTAAGGAAGAAATTATAGAAAAGTGGATAAAAACTTTGGTAATGCTTGAACGTAACGATTTGATTGAAAAACTGAAATCATTGTCTTAAGGAAAATCGACAATAAAACTGAAGATTTTTGTCGGATTATCCATTGGAAAATTATGAAAAAAAAATACAATTTTATTATGAGGGATTTTATGGTTTCCATTATTGTTTAAACTTTAAACTTTAAAAAAATCACCTGTTTAAATAAATCACCTGAAACTTTTGTTTTAAAAAACATTTTTTTCTAAGATAATCAAGGACGAAAAAATTCCCTACTTTTTTAAAAGCTATTTTTTTTATGTTTAAAGAAAAAATGAATCTAACTAAATTGAATTATTATTTAACTGTAAATCTAAAAATCTAACTAAAAATTGAATTATTATTCAATAATAATTCAATTTTTAGTTAGATTTTTAGACATTCATACACCCTCATCCAAAAAACTGTTTTTTTTTATTTTCAATTAACAATGGAATTTCATGCTCCCCACTCTGAATAATAGACTTTTTTTTTTTTTTTACTTATTTCTTTGTTTTATTGAAAAACATCTTTGATGATACTTACTTAATTTTTGTTGAAAAAAAAAAAAAATGTGTAGAGAATAAAAAAAATAGTGTCTCCGTTTTTAAACATTTTTCTGCTTATTTTTCTCCTTTACTCAAACAAAAAAACTAAACAAAAGGCATAAAAAAACAATTTTCAACGGGAAGGCTAATAAATATTTGTGTCAATTTTTAACATTTTTTAAATGAAAAATATTAAAAACTTCTTTTTTTAAGTATTTTTTTAATTAATTTTTTATTATCCACTCGTTAATTAATTTTCATATAGTTAAACTTTTCAGCAAAACAAAATTCTATTCCAGATTTCGAAAACTTGTGGATTTTTAATGCTAAGTAAGATTCTTAAATTTATGTCTTCAACTATAGATGACCAGAGAAAATGTCAAAAATCCGTACCCCGCCCTCCGAAAAAGAAAAATGCATTTTATTTTTTTTTAGATAATTAATTTAATTTAAATGAAGTTAAATTTTTGTTTATTTGAAAGATAATGGAATGCTAATCAACATTAAATGAAAAATTAATTTCTGTTTGTGATTAAAACATTTTAATTTTAGGTATTTTTTATTTAAAACCTTGGCTTGTTGACATGTTTTTTTTTCTCGTCGTCACTCACCGAACCACTATTTATAGACGAAAAATAAGAAGAAATTAAAAAAATCCAATATTTGTTCTAGAGTTGTTTCGAAGTCATTTAGTAGAATTAAAGATTAATTAACTGGATTTTGTAAATGTAATGTTTACATTTTACTTGTGTAACGAAAATAACGCTCAGTAGACTGTGGTTTCAAATGTTAAACAAAAACTGATTTTAAAAGCGCGAAGAATTAAAGAAATACGGAACACGCAATAATCAAGAAATTGTTATTTTTATGTTTAAAAATAAATTACCTTTAGCATTTTATAACCAATAGTTTACGAATATAATGACAATTTTTTATTTTTATAGATTAGAATAGTTTATTTTTTTTTACTTCTCTTTTTCATTAGTTTACTTTAAAAAAAATAGTTGGTACTAAAAATGAAAAACAACGGATATTGGATTGCGTTGTTTTGGTAAAATAAACATTAAGTATAAATTTATTTTTCTTTCCATTCTGAAAAAAATGTTTTAAATTATGAGCACCAATTTTCAAAATGTCTTTTTTTTTATGATTTCCACAGTTTTCAAATTTAAGTACTAAACATTTCTTTTGAATTGCATGATTGTTGACAAATATTTTAAAAGTTTTTTTTTCTTTACCTTTTTTTTTTTTTTTTTTTTCATTTTTGGAAAAAAAAACATCCATTTTGGTGATACCTTGAAAGAAGTAATATCTCCTTGTTTTAAAGTAATTTTTAATGAATTAAAAGTTTGAAAATTTAATGAGGGGAGTTTATGCTTTAATGTTTAAAAAAAAATCTTGTGTTACTTAACAAATTAATTTGTGACATTTGGCAAAAAGTAAATTTGTTTTCTAATGAGTGTTCGTTGCAGTCTTTTAATTTTAGATTTTTTTATGCAAAAATTACTATTCTAATAAGATTTCCATTTATTTATTTTTAAAAATTCTTCCTGAATTGATAGAATTTTGTTTTGAAGAAATTTAGTAATTTGTTAGAAAATTAACATTTTTTTTTTTTTTTTTCTAGAGTAAGAATTTTTACTTCCACTTTGCTTAATAGAAATCCCAAATCAAGAAATTTTTTGTATTTTCTGTTTGTTTTTTTTCTTCATTCTCTGTATGGAACTAAATTACAAAACTGCAAATTGAAATGAATGTCTGTAAATAAGAAATGTTCACTTTGACCTTTTAAGTTTTGTTTGATGTTATCAATAAGATGCCACTACTTGAACCAATGTGATTGTTTCAAGTAATATAATTCTTTGTTTGAAAATAAGAAGTCATTTTATCTGCAGAAGTAAATATTTCCTCTCTTTATTCAAAAGAAATGAAAAAAATTACTAGTGGTTTCATGTAAAACCACAAAAATTTCTTAAGTATTTTCTTAAGATTGCCACTTTTTTCTTTATTTTTTCAGAATATTTAAATGTGTTGGATTGATGGATTTTATGACATATCAACACTTATTGGATTATTTAATGTCTAAATCTTTTATACATACAGATACACTTAAATCTATGGGTAAACATTGTCTGCAAGTATCCATTTGGAAGTGGCTGCCTTTTTGTTGGCAGCTGGGTCTTCAAGTAGTTACATTTCAGAGATAAATGGCTAATGCTGATGGCAATGGAAAATGTGCACACAGGACTAAGATTTCAAACCTTCATATTCCAATCATTATGGCTTGTTTGTCATAGAATAGCAATTGAATTAAAATGAGTGCTACAGGGTTAACATGAAGGAAGACTGCTCAAAAATTAATAAATTTATAAATTTCAATCAAATCTTATAAATTCATCTTATGACTTTGTTATGCTTTGATTAAAAAAAAAAACACAACATAAAGACTTCCTACAGTACTGTCACCTCCAAAAATAGAAAACTACTTTTGGGACATTCAAAACACTACCCTGAAAATTGGATTTTTAAGTCACATATGAAAAGAATTTAGTGCCAATTTCAACATCAAAAGTTTTATAACCAATAAAATTGCTAAGAAACATTTCCACAGAAACGTTCTTTTGATCCTCTTTGATTCAATATAAGATACATACAAAAAATCCAGTCAAAACACTGACTTCCAAATCCAACATTTCTCCACGCTGTCCAAATGTGTCATAACTCATGTGACTGATCAAAGGTGACAAATTAAACCTTGTGCCAGAAGAACTATTATCACAAAACCTTTTTAATTTTGAAAGAAACAATAAATATCTTCTAATTTTATAGACAAAAACATTTAATTTCTTTTACATATGTCCTTACAGAATGTTGCCATTCATGACTCCACAATTTTTTTTTTTTTTTTTTTTTTTTTGCTCTAAGTAACTTTTGAATTATTACTATTGTTATTTCATTTTATTCTTGTCATCAGTTCCCTCTGACCAACCTGAAAAAAAAAAAGGCTGCAAGCTTTCTTTGCTTTCAAATGTATTTCGAGCAGAGCTCAAGAAAAGACTGCTAAGCCCTTCCTGTCACTTGATCAACATCACATAAAATGATTTTGCACAAAATTCACAGCCTTTACAAAAATTAATCACAAATTCAGTGTTCAGGTTTAGCAAGATGCCTTGTCACAATCTCCTGTTTTCATTGAAAGTAATTTCATCAGACTCTTCAAAATGTCTCCCAACTTGGAGAAAACAAATATCTTGTTCTGCTTAGTTCTTTTTGGTTCTACGATGCAGTTTTTGACTTAAAATCAGAATTCTTTTCAGTTGCTAAGATGATTTGTCTGAGATCACTTTTTTTGACACATTTGGTTCCAGTCTGGGACATAAGAAAAGAGGGCTTGGAGAATCTGACACACACAACATACTGAAGGAAAGAAGAGCAGAAGGAAACATATATATATATATATATATATATATATATATATATACCTAACAACACGCTTGTATAAATAGATAGCAGAACAGGAAGTGGGATGGAATGTCAGAACACAGGCATTGCTAAGAACTACAAAGGATAGGAAGCTGTGGAAACAGTAAAAAAGCCAGTAAAAATAGAATGTAAATTTTGATTTAAAATCAGAATTCTTTTCAGTTGCTTTTTCTTGCCATTGGTTGTTTAATAAATTCAAATGACTGAAGATTTAAGCCAACCAAACAATTGCAGAATTTATCAGCAATTTGGGGTGAGGGAATTAGAAACATCTTGAATTAATCTTTAACATTTCACACTTAATTAAAAACAAATTATCATGAGAGAGTCATCGCATATACATGTAAAATAACACGATAAAAGAGTCAGGCTCGGCAGCTTCATAGAAGTTACAAAACAGGTACATGTTGAAATCATTGCCCTTTTGGAAATTGATTGTTTTGATCAAAGTAATCATGACTTTTTCAAGTTCAGGTTCCAGTTTCTTCATAACTGGCACTTGACAGTGAATCATACAATGGGTAACTTGCATGCATCGATTCTATTTTGCCAATGCAACAATACCATTTACATAACCAAATATTGCTAGAACAATATTCACTGACCTCCTCCCACAACTCAATTCTTCCATTCAAAATTTACCCGAAGAGACTTAGTTGATATTTTTTATTTTATTTCAAAAACACATACTTTTTTCTGTTTGTAACTTGAACTGACAAGTAAATAACATTTCTTCTTCAATTCTGTTCTTGCCTTAGTGTTACATATACCTCATTAGTTGGGAGTCATTGCTTATGTTGGTGGTTTCATCAAGTTGTAGAACAACATGCATATTTTTCTTGATTGAAATGATCACTTGTTGTCTTATTTTTTTAAAAAAGATTGGAAATTCTATCTTTAATTCTTCTGGTAGATATATTCAGTTGCATCAAATATTTTGACTCCCTCACAAGATTTCAGCCAATTTTATTGTTAACCTTATCTCTTCAGCCTGACATGTTCATCATTGTCCTGAAAACCAGCTTTAAACCTTCACACAAAACAATTTAAACCATCCTGAAATCAAAATATTGTTGTTTTTTTAACTTTATCATTTATAGTTGTTAGTGATATAATAAAAATCCCAATCTAATTTTATTGTAATTTTTATAAAAATCATAACTTTATTTTTAATTTAACTTGAGTTAAATCACCTTAAATAATTTTACATGGAAATGTTCTTAATTTATTTTCATGTTCAGAGGAACTTGCACCATACTTTAATTTAAGAATTCTGCTCTGCATTCATTTTCTAAAAAATATTAGCACCAATGGTTTTAAAATCTTTATCAAACGTTTTCATTTACAATTAATTGCCTTATCTCATGAGTAAATATCATTTTTTCCCATGAGCAGAAAACACAACAAATCTAGTTGTGCCAATTTTTTAATAGACCATGAGGTTTATTAAAAACTTAGCAGAAAAATATACCTTTCTTGCTTTGTTTATTAAGACAAAATTTGTTCTTACAATCAGATCCTAATGTTTTTTTAATTTACAGATAAATAATACAATTATTGAAATTTTAAGTCCTTCAGTCTTCATTTTCAATTCAGGTTTCATTCATCACTTTTTAAAAGAAGCTTTGTTAATTTTTGTGTGTGTGCATATATGCTTCATTTATTAAAAGTTGCTTTTATATTAATTGTAATAAAAAATTTTTTTATATTATCCCATCATTGTCCTAAAAAACCTAACCAATCATCTGAAACTAAATGTTCTATTGTCCGTGTTAATATTAAAGCCTTGTGTTGTACTGATAAACTCTGTAATAGCATGTAGCTTCTTGGTTTTTGCTAACTGATCCCATGACTTCCAGGTTGGCATGAGACATTGAATTAAACAAATGTCACTTTCTTTACATTTTCCAATACCTGCTTCCAAATTTTCAAAAAATACCAGTTTTTGAAAAAAATGAGAGGGTGAACATTGTTTAGATGTTTTTTTTTTTGTTTTTTTTTTTCTCAATTGGTTTTATGTTGAAGTTGCTGGCACCTCTAGCTAAACAAGATATGGTGCATGGAATAGCAAAATGACACATCAAGAGAATAATTTACTATCTGAGCTTTGTAGTTATTTGTAATATTAGGACACCAATAAACACAATACATGGATAAATGGTCTTTTTCTCTTCCAATGCATCATTCAAACAAGCCAATCTCACTTACAGTGACAGTTTAAGTTCCAATAATTCAAATTAAAATATTTCTTTGAAATTCCTCCCAACCCAAAACTTTTGTCCACTGTGGATTCTGTTTAAATTCAGATGCTGAAGGTTATCTTAGTTTGTGTAACAGTTTTCTTTATTTTTGATTCTTGTAACAAATCCATTTTTCATTTTCAATTGATATTTTGTCCAAAATTGACTTTTTAAACAAGATTTGTGTTGAAGTTTCTTTCCAAGACCCCATTTTAAAAAAAAAATTTTTCCTATAGTTGGTAAACTGTACAATAGTTGACTATTTATATAATGCAATAAAGAACTGAATAAACTTTGAATACACTTAAAAAAATTTCTCATTGGGACAAAGAAAATGCTGTGAATTTTTGCATCAGCTAGATAATATATATATATGAAGTTTTTTGCACTGAAAACATTTGCTCATAATTGCAAAAAAAGCATGATTTTTGTAAGAAGAAAATTCAACATTGTCTTTGTTTCAACTAAAAAGACCATATGCAGTCAAATGTCTATAATATGACAAAGAATTTTCAAGTTGAAATGTATGAGTGATGTTATTTTTTCCCTCCTTCAGATAGAGATCTGGAAGCTTCGATGACTTCTTTGGTTTCTGAACTTCAATCAAAATATCCAGGACACATCCTTCCCACTAAAGATTTGCAATGGTTTTTCATAAATCGTGCTGGTTGGATGGCGAGTATTTGCATTTTGCATGCATCGTTAACAGAATATGTTGCCTTACTTGGTACAGCTATGGAAACATCGGGTCACTCAGGTAAACTCAAAAAAATCATTTATGCATGAAAAAAAAAAAGAGTCCAACTACCTGGTTACATCTTTCAAATTAGATTGTATTAATTGGTCATCAGTTTTATTTAGTTGATTAATCAGTTTTTATGTTCAGGAATTTTGTTTATTATATCACAGAAATTTCCTCCCTGGCTTAAAAGTAAGACTGGTAATTTTCTAAGCATACTTTAGATGTGGCACAAGGCAGAAAGTATGGGTCACCCAGTGAGGGTTGAACTCACCTCTGTGTTGTAATTGTTCTAGCAAGACAAGCTTTTACACCATGTTGAGGTATCCAAGACAGAATGAATTTCAATAATATTCTGATAGTTTTTTAAATTATTTTTTCTTCTTTTTTTTTTTTTCCAATCTTTACTGAAATGCTATTAAATTCTCAACTGTAAATCAATTAATCAGTACAACCATATGATCAAATTATATACGCCCCCCCTCAGTACAATTTTTGTTTCCTGTAAAACTTTGTAGTTATGATTTGTAAGGTTTTACCATTATTCACTTAGGAACAACTAATAAATTATGTTCTGGGAGTGAATGATACAGTGAATCAAAATTTGTATTTGATGTTAAAGGCAGTGAAATATTCTGGAACAGCTGATGAGATATTTCATCCATATTATCTTACAAAAAAAATACTACACTTGCCAGTACTTAAATTATAAAATCTGTTATATGAATTCCTTCTGTCTTTAACGCTAGATGAAATAAATCGCATTTACCATACTGGTTGAAAATGCTATTTTAACTGAAATATTGTATCTGTTTTACAAAATAGATTATTCTTGTATCAACTGTGATTGTGAAAAATGATCAGCTATGGAGGTTTGTCAGCATTTATAATTTAATGACAAAAGCATTTATTTTACGCATTTTTTTTATTTTTGCATAATTTCATTCTTTATCATTGTATTTAATACACTCATGACTACCTTGAATATTTGAACACTTACATAATGTGATCTTTGTTAGTTACTGTCAGAAATTGCTATATAAGACTACTTAGGCTTTATATTGGTAAATAAAATTAAATTTATTAAACTATAAAGAATTACGTTAATGTATGTCTTCAGAATTGTGTTTTTATATTCAATAATGGTATGTAATGTGTTTTTGTAATGGTGGTCGTTTTTACCAAGGTAAACAAAAAACAAAATGTTTTTATTGGAATGGAGATGCATGTACATCAGCAATGAAATGCACATCACAAGACCAAAATTTAATGTTGCAACAAACATGTTAATCCAAGATTTTTCCATAGTCTACATAGATGGAACAATATGCAGTGAAAATTTCTGGTTAAAATTTACCCATGTATGTGTCAGGTTACAGACTTATTGATCCATTTCCATATCTCTTTATATAATATTGGGTCAGTTTGTAGCATTTTTAAGTGAATTTCAAAAACAGTATTAAGATATTTGTCCATAGATTTATTCAACAACATATGTTCCATTTTATTTCACTAAACTTTATTGTCTTTGAGGCATCCTTGCAGAAGTTGGCATCTTTTTGGGTGATGAACTAGTCTTAGGGATTTTTACAGTCTTCCAGGTAATTGATATTTTCTTCCATTAAGAGAATTTTGAAACAAATGGTAATCAAAAGGGGCCAGGCAAGTACAATGGGTGTAGTAGGACATCCTAGCCAAGCTGTAGCAATTTCTGCCAGATCTTCAAAGAGACATGAGGTCTGGCATTGTCCTAATGGAAGATGACATCCCTCTGATTGGCTAATTCTGGCCATTTCTTCTCAATTGCTGCCTTTAGTCAGTCCACTTGGGAAAAGTATATCTGATTTTTCTGAATGTGCTCAGAATATAAAATACTTTTCCAATCCCACCAGATACACAGCATCTCTTCTGAGGCAGACCAGCTTAATGATGGCTCATTTCATTTTCTTCAGGACCTTTTTGCTTCACACTTTTCTGAATAATGCTTTATTTTATCACCTGTGATTGTTATTTTCAAAAATGGGTCATTTTTAGCAGAGAATTACAGATGGAAATGAGGTCCATTTTAATTTGTTTTTATTGGAAGGTACCCAAACATAGCAGTTCATGTATGCGAATGTCTTCAAATATCCTATAACTTGAGATATATGGAGTCTCTTTGTGTTATCTCATGTCATCAGCATTTTAATTTGGTCATCATCAATGACTGCAGTCTTGCTGGAATGTTCTCAGACTTTCAGAGCAAAATTTCCACTTCTGAATATAACAAACCACTTAACTATGGCACTATCTCCATAAATGGCAAATATCTTTTTTTGCTGTTTGTACTACACATATTTTTCCTTTCTAGAAATGATGAAAATGCATCCCATTTTCTTGTATTTTTACTTTCAACTTACAAGCAAAAGTCAAAAATTACCCGCACTCATTTTTTCAACTTTTTAGTCTGCTTCCTTTTTGATGCATTGAACAGTCCATAAATTTGTATATTTCATCCAAGAAGAGGGATTTTCATTGGTCATGCAGCCATTTATGCACTGCTTCCTGCACTTCTTTATCCATAAGAAATCAACAACCTCGTAAAGCATCTTTGAGCAGTCCAAAGAGAGGATAGTCTGAAGCTACAAGATCTAGATTATAGGCAGAGTATTCCAGCACCTTCAAACCCAATTGATTAATGGTTTCTATGTTCTGGATGATCATATGTGGTCATGCATTGTCATGCAACAATAAAGCTTTCTTTGACAATATTTGATGTTTGGTGCAACTTGCTGGCTTTATATGGATTTCAGCCCCTGACACGTCTTTTGATCAGAGAAATTGGATCACTGTTCTTTTTTCCTCCTTGATGTACACTGCTAGCAGAATGGCCATGTTTACACTGTAACAACAGCAATAAAACTGGTGTGATCATGCTCAGTCTTCGATCATGTGACCAAAATAGTGCCAATTATAAGCACATGAGCAGAAAACAGTGTGTGACAACCTATATATGTTTTGACGAAAGTATGGATAATTTTGACTTTGATAAAATCATTTAAAATTCACAATTGGCACAAATATGGAAAACATTGAAATGTCATCATTCAGTTGACGCATGTGAAACAAAATCACATGTTCAAATGCTACCTATTGAAAAAACATTCAACTTTTGTTCCAATTCAATATTAAACTTTTCCCTTACTGAAAAGTGCACTTGTTTATATTCTTCTTCTATATACAGTATCCCTTCAGGACATTGGCCATCATGACTCTCCACAACTTCCTATTCTTTTCAGTTCTTTATAAATTTTGTCTATTTGCAATTTCTCCCAAACCCTGCTCTGCCATCCATTCACTCAAGCTCACTAAGTTGTTTTCCTCTGTCCCTCTTGCCTTCAATCTCTTTTGAGTATCAAATTTTTGAAACTCTCTTTCCTCATTATGTGCCCTAGAAATTTCATCTATCTCCTATTGATGTTAACTAAAAGTTTCTTTTTTTGTTTCCATTTTCTCTGAAACTTTGTTATTGCTGGCATGTTTGGTCCATAATATTCTCAGCATCCTTCTGTAGAACCAGATTTCTGTTGCTTCAGGCCTCCTCTTCATCTCCTAAGAGATTGTCTAGCATTCACTGCCATACATGAGGACTGATATTATATAACAACTGAAAACAACAAAATTTTCCTGTTTAATACTTTGCCTAGCTTTTGGAAGGCATCTTTTGCTATCACAATGTGCCTTTGGATTTCTGTGTTGCACTTAAAACATTTAATTAAATTTAATTTCAGGTCATTACTTTATTAACATCTCTGACACTCTTCTCAGTGGAAAATTCCACCGATGGAAAGAAGGAGAATTTCGTTCTAAAACTTTTACTGCTGGTGAGTCAAACTGAATCACCTATTTTTTTTTTTTTTTTTTTTTTATTATTATTATTATTAATCAACAAACTTCACAAGGAGTCTTTGCATTCATTGTTTTTAACAATTTATTTTAATTTCAGTTGCTTTTTATTTCTGTGATTATTATCTCACAAACAGTAAAAGAATAAGACCCAAGCAAAATTTGAATTTGTCTAAGATTACAATCTTGAATGTTAAATGATTTTTATAAAATGAAATCCTTTTATTTCTACTAATAAAAATTTTTTTTTTTTTTTTTTTGATGTCAGTAATTTTGTTTTATAACTGAAAAAAAAAAAACAAAGAAAAAACTTTTTTCTCCATAGGGTTCTGTTATTTAAAGATGTAAGATGAGGAACATTGGAATACGAAGGGCAGTAGAATCACATTCTGTCTCCACTGGGTTGTCAGAAATGTAGATGAGGATTTGCTAACCAGTTAACACTAGGATGGCCGAGGTGTCGTTTTTGACACCTTCAAATTTTCAACAAATTACTATGGAATAACTAGTTTTGGTTCGATGTTGAGGCTTATGGACAATTATTGAATTTTAGCAAAGATGCTTAACAGACTTAATTCTTTAAAAAAATATTCAGTGGAATAGCTGATATTTGAGGTTTTACCTTGAATGGCTGAGGTGTCGTTTTTGACACCTAGGCTATTTATAGGGTAAATATTGCATTGAAAAATTTCTCACAAGCAATAATACTTGTTTATGTCCTCTATCTATCTATCCACACACACATAATTTTATATATATATATATATATATAATCACTTTCTTTCAGTACGAGGTATACTAATATTTGTGAATTTCTTTTCAGACTTGTTATTCCTGACTTGAATATTGAATATATTAGAGATGACTGCTTCACAGCGTAATGTAAATAAAGATATCAAAAAAGCTGGCCATCCTAGTGTTAAACAAAAAAATATTTTTCACTTTATGGAATGGGAGTGGGGAACATAGTTGTTTTGATAAGTACCAGTGTAAATTTCATAAGATACTTGTAAAAGGAATCTGGCTTATTGTGTGGAACATCTAGAGTTTGAGTAGGAAGAACAATATTCACGCTGTCCAACCTCATTGGGGATAACCCACTCTTCATTCTATTATAGGCTTATAGCCATATCATGTTGGAACACCGGTTCTTGTACGATCACCAAAGCTAAGCAACGTTGAACCTGGTCAGTACTTAGAATGGGTGACCACTTGAGAATACCAAGATCTGTAAGTTTGGATGTGCAGGTTGGCTAATGGATAACAATTAAGAATTGGAAATCGGAGAGCTCTGTTCCAATTCCAGTTGGGTTCATTATATTCACTTTTCTGTAAATACCTTTTGGAAAAGTATGAATTCACCTCTTCTCCCCCTAGTTATGGGTTAGTAAATAGGAATTGTATCAGTAAATTATCATTATCTCAAAAACATTCTTACAATCTAAAAATATTTTCTGGTCTAACCTGCAAAGGGTTGATAATCTGTAAAATAACAAAGCAATCAATCATTCTATTATAATTTGGCTAAATCACTCTCCTGTAATTTGTCCAGTCAGTAGCTACAAAAGCTTTTCCCTATAATTAATATTGACAAAGAACACAAATAATAGTTTTATTTCTTCTTTCATGGCTTTAAGTCAGTAAATTAAGATAAAGGTGGCTGGGTTCATTATGGTGAAAAAGGTTGTAACTACTTTTCAACATTAACTGATTCAGGAATTTTAATGAAAACTGTTGTAAACATAGAATTTTGATAAAAAAAATTTGTGGCTGTAGAATTGATTGATAATTTTAATCTGATTTAATATAACAACCTCCCCATAATGTCGCTTTGAATAATTGCTCAAAAAGAAATTTAAAAAAGAATGTTTTTGGTAAAAGTGGTTTTGCATTTGTAGTTTGAGAGTGACTGATTCAACCTTTTTATTCTTTCTTTTCTTTTCTGTCTTTTCTTGCTTCACTCTTTTCCTCACACCTCTCTCCCTTCTGAAAGATAAGATTGTAATAAAACTATTTTTTATTAGTTGATTTTGTTATCAGTTTTTTTTTTTTTTAATTGCAGGTGACACTATTTATCATTTAGCTGGGGAGGCAAGTGGTGTGCATTGGACAGCTGGTACGTACATGATTGAGTATGGACGAGGTTTTCTCATATCTGCCTTACCTACAGCTTTTGCTGATGTCATCTTTTCTACACATGACTTCGTATCAATGTTCCAGGTCCTGTTCACGTTTATTAAAGCTAATTTCTTGGAATTAAACACAATCTTCCAAAATATTGCAAGTGAAACATGATGTGCCTGAGTGTTTTAATAAATTTTAAAATATCCAACAGATTTTTTTTATTTACTTTCAATCTAAAGAAAAAGAAAAGAAAAAAAAAACTTTGTTTATTTTTAGCATGTACAAAAATTTCCAGCAAAAAACTACTTTTCAAACTGTAAATTCATTTTTATTTCCCTCCACTTTGTAAAAAAATGTTATGTTACTAAATTTAATTTATTTAGAAATCATAAGAGCTTTCTTTCCAACCAGACAGTCTGTGGGACAGCTGTAAAATTAAATTGCAATATATTTTATTTACTTCTTCAAAATAAACTTAAGGGAAAGATTTCATGTCAGTTTATTAATCAAAATTTGTCTCAAATCTCACTTTGACCAGTTATCAGTGTAATTCTAAGAAACTGAGAGACATGAGATAATTTGTTTATGCAGTTTCGAATCCTACAAGAAAGTGCATATATTTCTCAAATATTCAGGCTGGTAGATGACAATAAATAAATACACTGTTTTTAACAGTGTCTACTCAAATATGAGTATCTAAAATGTTTCAAGTAGGTATCTCCAATAATTTGCTGAAAATAAAAAGAGTATTTTAGCATGACGAAAAGGCTCTAAACTTGATAAAAAAAAAAAAAAAACCCAAAGTTTTATGTTTCGACTTTCCTTTTTATAACAACAAAGTATTTTTTGATTATTTTTCTAATTTTTTTTTTAATCCTCTCTATTACATTCAAAATTTTGGTTAATTAAAAATATATTGTTCTTCTTGTATCAGTGGGGGCAGCAAAGAGTAAAAATTTAGTACCCCTTTTTCTGGTAAATTTGGAAATTCTTGCAAAGGTCAAATAATTGTCAGATTTTAATGAAAATTTCAGGACTTATTCACAAATGAATCAAATGTTTTTAGAAAATCTTGGTAGAAATATTTTAACATCATTTTTAACCCCCCCCCCTCCTTACTTAATGAAATTTCAAAAAATTAAATTGTGACCATTTCATAAAATCAGGACTCCTTGGAGAATATATTCACATTTTTTTTTCTTTTAAACAGTAACTCATTTACCAAAAATCTACTGTAGATCATAAAATAAAAAATGCAATTGAAATAAGACATTATTTAATTAGAAAAGCTTTTAATTGTTTTTGATGAATAAGATATATTATGGATGGACACTATTGACTTATGATAAAAAAAAATTTTTTTTCAATGCATAATGAATTTTTACAAGAATTTTTTTTTTTTTTTTTTTTTTTTTTTTAAATTTTAATTATTAGAATAATTTATCAAGTTTTAAATCTTTTAAATTTCTGTATTTGTACAGATTAGGTGACATTGTTATTAAGTAAAAAGTTTTTACTAAAAATTATATTTACTAATCATAAATTGAAAACTTAGTACAAATCATCACACTCCAAAATTTGTAAAAGAATTTTTTTTTATATGTAAACGTGCTGATTTTCTTTATACAGCTGACCATAAATGGCATTATCAGACAATAAGAGCCATAACTATAATAAATTTACAGACCAAAATATTTAAAATTCAATAAAACATTAAGTTACAGAGAATATTTTCTTAAATTTTTAAATTGGTTAATTTAATTACTTTTTTAAACTTTAAAACGATTGGTAAATATCAATCTGCTTATGCTGTCAAACACAAACTAAAAACACCTTAAATAAACTTATCTGGTGAAAAAAAATTTTTTTTTTTTTTTTTTATATTTTAAACTAAAATTAAAGTAAATATTTGTTTCAAAATGAGATTAATTATACTTTAAATCAGCTAATATTCCTCAAGGAAAAAAGAAAATACTTTTTTTTTAGCCACTGTTTTTATTTTTTACTTGTTTTTTACCTAATGGAACCAAATCAGGTCATTTTAATCAAGAAGAATTTATTAAACAAAATAATGTGCTACTATAAAAAAAAAAAAAAAAAGTGGAAAATTAATGAAGAAAGACATTGAATTGATAGTGAATTGATTGCTTTCTTTCAGTTATTAAGGAAGTAGTTAAGAATTGCTGAATTATTTCATCTTCTGTACAAAAAAATAATCTATCAATTTTTAAAAGAAAAATCTTTTAAAAATATTTCTGATGTGAAAAGGACATTAAACTTTACCTTTTGATTCTTCAAACACCTTTATTTAATGAAAAAAAAAAAAGATTTCTTTTGTCATTAGCAAGCAGGAGAATTTCAGAATTGCACTGAAAAATTACAAGTAAATTGTTCAAAAGTAAATATTGTAGATATTTTTTCCATGTAATATCTAAAAGAAAATAATGTTTTTATTATGTGAGCATCAACTCTCAACAAAAACTATTTTTTTAGTTTTACTGAATTAATTTTTTAAGGTTTCAAGACACCCCTTTATTTCACTCACTGAGGTAGACTGTTCTAGTTCCACGTGCCATATTTAATGGATGTTATCTCGTGTTAATAGTTATCAGTTATCTCATGTTAATTCCTCTCTGCAAGTTCTCCACTGAGAGGGGAATTAACAGGAGATAACTGATAAATGACATCCATTAAACATAGCACTTGGAACTAGAACAGTCTACCCCAGTGAGCCAAAATGTAATGAATATGGTGACAAAGATGAGGACAATAGTCTGAATAATGTAAATAGTGTACATAATACCTCCTCTCAGAAATAGACAGATACTGAAGTTGCAGGACAAATTTTCAAGTTGTTCACAGCTGATAATGCATAATTTTTACTGAAATAACATCTTCAGGATTTTTTTTTTTTTTATAAAACTATATAAAATATTTTTCATGAATGCCCAATTTTAAGTGTTCATAATATACTGAAAAGTGTGTGTGTGTGTGTGGGGGGGTAACTGTCCCCACAAAATATTTCTCCAAAGTTTTTTAATAAAATAACTATAAATTTCATTCATTCATGACTAAGTGTTGAAAATTTAATTTAAATGTTATAATTTCATGAATTTTTAGTCATTTGTTTTTAAATAGGGTATAGCATTTTTTCTTTTTTGCTTTGTTTAAGAAACAAAGAAATAACAAGAAGGTTATTTTGTATTGATTTTTATACTTTTGTGAAAGGAGAAAGATCAGGTGAGAGCATGTCCTTCTTACACCATGTGCAACGTAGAGCTACGCCTCCACCATGCTATAGTTTCTGATGTAGGTACCATAGTTAATAGGCTTTTTACAAAGTGTATTTGCCAGTCCTACATCCAAACAGTTTACAATTCAGTTATCCTGTTTTTAACACTAGTTGCCAAAAGGCTAAAATGCTATTTAACCCATAGCCGGGGGGAGACAAACTGAATTTATACCTTTTCCATGGATATTTGCAAATGTGAATGTAACACCTTTGCTGGGATCTGAACTTGGAATGCCAATCTCATTTTCTACATTGATAACCATTATTACACATACTGAGGAGATTTTAAATAAAAGGTGGAGTTTACTTTTGTTTTTATGATCTACAACTGTGTTTCTTTTTTATTGCATAATTTGAATATGAAGCAATATTTTTTCTTTAATCATTTCACCCCAAGCAAGACGATAATGCCACTAAGATGCAAGGGGTTAGTGAAAGAGAATGAGAAGACTTTAGTGAGAACAAGAACAATAAAAGAAGAGAGTTCAGGAAGACATAAGATAGTCATTGACATTGCAATTTTTGATGATTGTCGGTGGCATAGAAGTAAGAGACTGGAATAGAGTTCCACAGGCAAAAAGTGTGAGAAAAACTATTAGAAAAGAACTTATGGTTACATCTAGCTAATTCAACAGTAAAATGATGAGACCTAATTGCCAATCTAGTAGTATTCTTCAATTCATGGAGTTGAGGTATCAAGGAGAAAAGCTCATTAGAACAATTGTCATGAAAATATTTATAGAAAAGACACGGGGATGTCAGGTCAGGACCATTTAGATTTTGTGACGTCACCCTGTTCTCTCTCCGTGCCCTCTGCCATGCTATCCTGTGACGACCAATGTGACTTGGTATTGGTCACAGCACCAAATGTGAAGTTCTAACCTTTTGCTGATTCGGATTGGAATCTGGTTAGATTCGGTATCAGCCTTGTCGTTCCCATCTCCCCTCCAATGTCTGGTTACCGAAGTAACTGCTTTGATTTCTAGTCTAACCTACCCACGTTGTGATTTGATCTTAGGTAGATGAAATCAATCAGTCGCCGGGCCGCAATGCAAGTCGAGTCCGAACAAGGGTAATACCGCACAAGCATATGTAAAAGAAAATAAAGTAACAACTCGAAAAGTTCATATGTGTTAAAAAAAGAAAAATATTTTATATCTGGTTGCTAAATACAGGACTGCGTCTTTTTCCCAACCAGCTTATATGGATTCATGAACTTTGTGTTTGTTAGGCGAGTCTTAACATCTTAAATTGTTCTTTTAAGAAACTGGTTTTGGTGTATCATCTGGTGTGAGTCTAAGTCGTTCTTCAAAAATAAATTGTTCTTGGTTAGAAGTTGAGGTTGTGATGCATAGAACTTCAGTCAGCTTTCAGCGAGGCTGTCTGCGAGCTCTCAACTCTGCGTCTCCCCTCCATGTTCTGTGTCTGCCCCAACTAACTGCCGTCCACTTGCTGCGACTCTGCTTATATGGACGCCAACCAAAACCGGGGTGGGCTTGTCGGGGTTTGAGGTTCCTTGATAATTCTAAATTCACATCAAGGTTTTCCTTTGTTTTCGGTCAGGAAAATTTATTAATTTCCATTTTTGGAAGTCCTTAATTGTAGTTTAAGGGAATCATCCTCTCAAATTCTTCCTTTCTCATATTGGTATCTCAATCCCTTCAGAGGCGTCAACAGGTTTCCCCTCTCTCTCACAGTGGCATCTTACACCGATCCCTTCAGGGGGCGTCAACAGGCCTCCCTTCCTTCTTCCCATGATTACCTTCGCCTACCGCTCACGCCACCATTCAGCCAATGGACGCCCAGCAG